ACATAATAATATTACTATTTTTTTTTTTATTTTTTTTATGTCTGTTTTTTTTTTTTTCCCGGCTAAAAAAACCAAGGGCGTTGGTTTTTGTTGATTTTTTTTTTTTTTTTTTTGAATAATCAGCTTCTATTTTTCTTTGGGAACAGTGTTAATGTTTAATTCAGAGGTGATTTCAGTATTCCCTATTCATATTATTGAAAAAAGCCACACTAAAATATAAAAACTTAAGGGTTGTTTCACCCTGAAGAAGGTCAGTATTTCAAAGGATTTCATATTTATAAGCTTCATTAAGCCTTATAAGTGGAAGACAAGTGTTTCCTCACAAAAAAGAAGTAAAGGTTCTACTATTAACCAGTAACGTTTGTTTCCCAGTTGTATTCTAATAGTTAACATTAACCGTTTTAAATAACAATCTTAAAAGCGTTACAGTCCCCTTTTTCAAAGACCTGACTGAAAATTACCTTGGATAGTAATAAATTTATACTTGAAAATGGCATTTTTTTTAAACAACTTGCTTTACTCTGAAAATTAATATTTGAGAAAGTTAGAAAGGACGTTTCCAGGGGGGTCCGCAAGCGATTCTCAAATACGGCTTCTTGACACTGGTTGTCTGAAATAAATTGAATGGAAAATTAATCCCTCGTTTGAGCTGGGTAATTGAAACATCGAGCCTCAACAGTTTATTTTACCGCTAATAACAACATTTTGTTCGTGAAAACCGTGATAAAATAATTAAAATTATCATTCGTTGCAAATTTTTCTTCCTTTTCATTGGCCGAGATCCCACCCATCGTGACCTGCAAATAACTGACTAAAAATAATGGTCTGCCCATGCGCAATTTTGTTTGGCCGCAAATAATATTCTGCTCATGCGTAAATGACACCACGCTTTTCCCCTTCTAACGATGTGTCATTATCATTTTCTCTGTCTTTTGCCTCTACCGGTACCGTCTTCTCCTCTTCATTTTTTAACTCCAAAACATGGGCAATCTGTATAGTCGAAGACAGAGACAGGGAAATAAACGAGGAAAAATAAGAAGTGCAAAACATCGGCAGATGTAAGAGGTTGAATGGCTCTCCATAATGTGACGTCACATTTTCTCACTTTGTTCGAACCGATCACGTCAGCCAGTTTCCTATCCAGTCTTTCTATTATCCATGCCTCTTTAGAGGCCGGCGCGCCGCAACTTCACTCCGTTACACGGAAATTGCACCGAAATCACCGTTCTTGTCTGTGAACCGACGACCTATCTGGTATGGTTTCCGTGCCGGTGCAAAAGCTATCGTCGCTGGCCATGTCTTCTCTCAGTTCTGTTTTAAAGCTTAAATACAGCTGCGTGTCATCAGCATATAAATAAAAGCTGACCTTGTGGTGTCTCGCTATATCACCAAGTCGACTGGCATACAAGATGGACAATACAGACAATATACAAGACCCAAGACACTCCCTTGGAGCTTACCGCATGAAAGGCTTCGTTAACGTTGTGATGAATGATAACCATTTATATGTTCCGTCTGCTGACGATCTGAAAGATAAGATGCGAACCATTCCCAGGCATGTTCAGCAATCCCCAAACCTCTGTGACAATCGGTATAGGAAGATATTATGGTCTACTGTATCAAATGCTGCGGAGAGGTCCAACAGCAGCAATATCACAGAATATTGGTTGTGGATGGATCGCAAGATATCATCATGAACCTTAACCTATGGTAGCGCTTGTAGGGAGATTGAAAGACCTCATTTAGATTATCTTCCTGCATATGATTACATATCTGGGTGGCCACAACCTTCCCTATGCACTTAAACACAGAAGTCAAGTTCGAAATAGGACGATAAGTGCTGTCACGGAGTTTGTCGTTATATCTAGCGTAGCGCTAGCCTTCTTTAGAAGAGGTGGAAGAGAAGCAGACTTCAGAAATAGACAAGTTAGTAATGTTTGTAATAACTGGAAGTAATTTATCAGAATGATTTTGAGGAGGGAACTGGCCTGGGTCGAAATGACATGATTTCCAAGCAATTTTTCCAGTAAATCCCTTCATCTCACTTTCAGTCAAAGGTGATAACTGATAGAATTTCTCCTCACGCTGATTAAGACTAGACTCAGGAAAATAATTGGCGGTAGCAACAGCCGTAGACGCCACCTCCACTCTAAAATCGTATTTGTTTTTATCGCCACTTCAATGGGTTCACTTGGCACGATCATTTTAAAACAGAATTGACTCATACATGTAGTACACGAAATTAGATTAAGTGGTGCGCATTTCAACCAATTATTGATAGAAACCAAATGAACAAATCTCTGCACATAATCAGCAAAAACGATTGTCTCTAAGTGCTTTTTCATTTGGTGGGTTCAGTTTATTGTACATTCCACTCTCACGTAAGCGACCACCACGGGTGCTCGACAAAGTGCATGGTGGTCGTCTATGGGAAAAATAAAAAAAAAAGCTCTAACTCAACTGATAAACGTAATTACATACAATTATTACCTTACAGGCTAAAGTTAGGCAAATATGAGACAACTGGCAATGATGTTTCACACCATCACTTGGAACTGTTAAAACGTTTTACATAACATTTTGCATCAATGTAACAATCCACTTTTATACCTACAGATCGTATTACAGTCATCTTCTTTGTAACTGCTAATATAATCTGTCAGCACGCTTGGTCTGCGCTTGAAACTGTAGTGTGAGCACCATGAGAAAACAAAGGAATATGTCAAGTTTCCGGGCCTAAAATAAAAGTGGTCGTGGTCGCTAAAGAGACTAAAGTAGTGGTCGCTGACGACCGCTTACGAGAGAGGTTTTGAAACAGACAAACAGTAATTGACTAAGAAACAAAAGGAGAGTTGACTGTAGTTGGTTTCCGTCCTTGATCTGAGAGGATTTTCCATAAATACTTCGGTATTTTTTACTGGCTTCGGATACATGACTTGCCAGTAGAGCTAATTTACTGAAGGCAATGATTATACTTAGAGATCAATTACTAAACTGAAGATTGAGCTTTGCAAGGTATTTCCATTAAAAAGTATACCCAAAAAAAAGTATATTAGTCTTAAGATTGCATTGAACCCATCATTAGATTCAAATGTTGCGTGCATGACACTTTCGAGAGATTAAAGTTTTAAACTAACTTTTATAAAATTTCAGTTAAATGGCATCGCTCATTCGCTAGCGTTTGTTTTGCTCTCGTTATTGCCTGCTTTATGCCGCTAAACGGTGCAAACTGGTACACTGCTCGAGTCACGTTTCTTCCGTCGAAGGGATCTTCGATGCGAATATACGGGCGTGTCCATTTTTTGTCAAATGGTACAGCCCTTGTGCTGGCCTGACGAACAGACAGTAGTCTATTCCAATTAAAGGTGGAATAATAATCAAAAAAGCCAACGAGGAGACTTCCAAGGGACTGTTGGTTTGATGATCTATACGAAGTAACGACTGATGGAAGGTAGCCGCTGACCAGCTTATCGGCTATAGTTTCGGCGCCTAACGATGTACTGAAATTGATCGGGTCGGCTGATTGTAGCGATGGAATGACCTGTGGACTGCAACCGGTTTGCAAATAGAAAATCACTAACAGCACCACGGCAAAGCCTAGAATGGTAAAAAGAAACAAAACCACGTTNATTAAAGGTGGAATAATAATCAAAAAAGCCAACGAGGAGACTTCCAAGGGACTGTTGGTTTGATGATCTATACGAAGTAACGACTGATGGAAGGTAGCCGCTGACCAGCTTATCGGCTATAGTTTCGGCGCCTAACGATGTACTGAAATTGATCGGGTCGGCTGATTGTAGCGATGGAATGACCTGTGGACTGCAACCGGTTTGCAAATAGAAAATCACTAACAGCACCACGGCAAAGCCTAGAATGGTAAAAAGAAACAAAACCACGTTAAAATGGCAGCATTTCGTATCAGTTTGGTTCATGGGCTCTTCATCCTTCTGTAACCCACAAAAATCAACTCGAATTAATAAAACTTCCCCTGGACGAACAACAACAAAGGAACAAAACCAACTTTTTTGCATTACAGAAGTTTCTACAAGTAAATCGCACTACAGTGAAACCTGTGTTAACGTCCGCTTAAATAGAAGTGTTCGCTAAATAAAGGTTCGCTTTACTGAAAATGTGACTGGGGAGATAGGTTTAAAACATTCGGAGTTATTTGTCCGCTAAATACAGGGTGTCGTCCGCTTAATATGGGGTACGCTCATACAGAGTTTCCCTGTCACGGTCTCAGTACTCGAGTCGACTTTCTTATTCCCCTTGCCATGCTTACGGTTATGAGGACTTATTTCATGGGCGCTCTCAGTTCATGGTTTTTACAGGATCACTCACCGATACTGTAACGAAATACAGTTAAACCCCGTTAATACGGACACTGTGTGGGCCCTAGAAGGTGTCCGTATTGAGTGGGCTGAATTTAGAAAATGTAAGAAAAAAAAAATGTAAGGGCTTTCTTTCCCAAGGGCAAAGCAAGCTGTCCGTAATAATGAGGTGTCCGTATTAAGCGTATGTCCGTAAAGCCGGCTTTAAAAAATACTAACCTGATAGCTTATGGTCACGTGCATCAGTGATTCTGGACATTTTGGCCCAGTACTTGATGATCACAATCAGAGGAGTGACCCTGGAATCTAGGCTACCATAACATTTCTGCAGATAGGTGTTGAATATGGAATTCGGCATGTCAACGCTGATGTCTCCTTCCAGTCCCTCGCGCCAGTCATTCATCTTCAGTATAGGGACAACTGCTCCACTGATAAGCTAAGGAGAGAGAGCATGGGATAGTCTATCTTTAACTATCGTAGAAGGTTATTAAAGTGTTGTCCTGAAATTATGTTCCTAAACTCAAAAACATGATCACCGGCGTTAAAACAGTGAAAAAGTGATCACATGGAATGCCTAAGGCCCAGTTTAAATTTAACATACCGAACCTAATCCCTCGGCTTCGATTAGGTACATGAAGAGATCGACGTTTGAATCAATAGAGTGCGACTGTCTAATAATTTGGGTCGACCCATGAATTAAGATAGGCGTCGATAAAACCCGGAACATGGAACATTCCGGAACATTCCGGAACATCCCGGAACATCCCCGAACATGAAAAAATTAAAATAATTTTCATGAAAAAAAAAAATAATAATAATAAAAAAATAATTTTCATAAAAACTAATAATAACGTAAAATAACAAAAAACCGAAAGAGAAAGAGAAAGAAATAAAGAAAAAGAAACTCGTATCATCTCCGGGGATATGAGAAAACATATTTTGTCGCAAATAATTTGTGCTGCGAGGGTCCATGGAAATGACAGTAATGAGTGAAGGTTTGCTTCTAAATTCAATATATTAAAATGGGTCGCGAGGAGGGGGGTTTTCAAGCTTTTCTAACACAGCCACCCCGTGCAAATGTCTGCCATGCGGTGTAACGGTTATTCATTTACGGCTTTGCGACCGTAAGAAGAGCTTAGGGGCTCCTCTCTCTGTACTTTAGTAGATAAGATTCACATTCGCCGTGAATCAGTGGTAGTGGCAGCGGTAGCGCAGCGGTAGTTTCTAACTGTTATCAGTCAGTCTGAATTGTATCCGTCTCCCGAGTCGCAAGTGAAGTTTGCGACTCGAGGAGATGGCGGAAATTCAAGCTAGATCACAGCCCCCTATTTTCCTCCGCCAAGTTGAAGATTGCGATCGCCGCTGTCAAAGTGATTTGGGTATCCTCTGACTACCAAACTGGTGAGAGTGAAGTTGGTACTAATTCGTGTGTGTGTGGAACTACCAGGGGCGTAGCCAGGATTTTTCAAAGGGGGGGTCACAGAGCTATGTTAAGCAGGGACACCATCCAGGGATCGCCGACTATATATGGTTTATACCGCTGCTCTCCCTCGTGTATCAGCGGGCTCAGTCGTGTTACCGCGGCATGAAGGCCCATATTAACTAAAGACAAGAGCCGTTGACGAAAATACTTTACAAAAAAACAAATTTTAAAAAAGTGGACTTTTCAACGATGGCTTTTACGGCCAAGATGGCGTTTTCGCCACCTAAATATTGTAGGTTGTTTGCTGAAAAGAAGGTCTACCAAGGGGGGTCACGGGCACCCCAGGACCCCCCCCTAGCTACGCCCTTGACTACAACTTTTATGGGAGGGGCTGTTGTGATTCCCGTGATCATGCAGATCCACACAGACTTCCTATGCCCGTTTCAGACCCCAGACAGGACACTGACACGACGGAACCAAATGCTTCGAGATGATGATATATTTAGCAAGGTGGAACAAAAAAAATCAAACAAACAAAACGGACGGCTCCTTTCCTTTCTATTGACCTTTGACCCGGACACGTGACAAACGAATACTGTAATATTCAGTGAATTTAACTGAAAAATAACGTTTTCAAAAATAACAAGTCGCATAGGCAAACCTTTAAGTGTCTTCGATAAGTTAGGATTGGGCTCGAAATATCGTGGGGGAACAGCGTTTCAGCACACAGAGTGGAAAAAAATGCAACGTCACAGGGGACGCCCAAATTAAATCACAGCGGCGATCGCCATCCTCGACCAGGCGGGAAAAAGAGGGGACTGTAAACTAGCGTGAATTTTAGCCGTCTCGACGAGTCGCAAACTCCTCTTGCGACTAGAGGAAACGTCTGAAATATCAGGCTGATTGTAAACAGTATAGAAACTACTAGGAATGTGAGTATTGTCAACTAAAGTCGAAAGATAGGAGCCCCTTAGCTATTCTTAAGGTCACAGAGCTTAGTCTGTAAGTAATTCATGTTAACCTCAAGAAAGCAAAGCACCTCAAGTAAGTACATGTCGGTTATAGATAACTATTTGTTGGCTTCACATGAGTTACTTAATTACCGACTTGGCTTGACATGACATAGTGCACCGACATTTCAGACCATCGCAAAACCGTAAATGGTTAACCGCCAAATGATTAACTCATGGCAAACAATTACAAGAGGTAGCTGTGTGAGTAAAGCTTGAAAACCCCCCTCCTCGCGACCCATTTTAATATATTTTAAATTTATGAGCAAGCCTTCCTTCATTACTGTCATTTGCATGGACCCTCACTCGCCCAAGAAATTATTTGCGACACAATATTGTTTTCTCTTACTCGGAGATGAATTTCTTTTTCTTAATCATTTCTTTATTTCTCGTTTTTTTTGTTTTGTTATTTTATATTATTTTGTTATTTTTGCAAAAACTATGTTATTATTATCATTTTTTTTAATTATTTTTTTTTCATGAAAATTACTTTTATTTTTTCATGTTCCGGGATGTTCCGGGATGTTCCGGGATGTTCCGGCATGTTCCGGAATGTTCCGGGTTTTATCGACGCCCGAATTAAGATCGAGTGGTCAACATGGGAATTCCGACTGCTGTGGAGCGACTTTGTTTCAAACATCGAACTTCTCATGTGCCAAACCTAACGCATGAATTACTCAACAAATTCTTTTTACTTGTAAGCATCTGAAACCATTGAACATCGTGAAACGGAATGAATTGAGTACTGAATAATAAGTTCGACGTCTAAATCAACTGTGGAACTTGTTTTATTTCGGTCGACCCAAAATACATCTGTAGGAATTAATTTCGGCAAATGAAAAGATCGACGTTTGAACTATGAAGTGGTCTTAAGTCTATTTAACTTGCAATGATGTCATGATGTCACAAATTCAGTATGCCCAGGCAGGTTTGCCAAATTGAATTTGCCTTTAAAGCAAGTTTGTTAAACACGTTAAGATCCATTCACAGGGTCCTTTGAACTGATTATTACACTGTTTTTAATGAATAATATAAAACCCTTATTTCACGTTCCAGTTATAAGGAAATCGCCAATTGGAAAATAATCTTCCCGGCTTTTAGGTTGCAAGCACCCCTTTCATTTCCCACCCATTCCAGTTGGTGTTCTAAATGTATACGTAGTTTTTTAGTTCAGAGATTCGATAACTTTCATACAGAAATTCGGGAGTCTTCGCACCCCATCCAGGGCTAGTAATACTAATTAACTTAACTTCAGCACTGACACCCCGCGGAAGTGCCAAAAACTTTTTCAATCGCTGTGAATATTCTATTTAAGGAGAATAACTAATTTGAAACGTACCGTAGATTTTTCTCAAAGTAGATCATAATAAAAGGCTCGTGTATTTTTAACAGTGCACTGGGATTTTTGTTCAGAATCCTTTACAAGCTATACCTCCATGTACTGAAACGTAGAATCAACGTGACTGCGTTTTAGGGGGACGAAACAGAAATCGATTGTATGCCTGTTCGATTGTTCGCGTATACTTTGGCAAATATTATTTGATTTTTTCAAATAATGATAATAATAATAAAAAAAACACTCGGTTTTGTCAAGTAATATCTAGGGAATTTGTTTGAGGGAATAGATTGTAATAATTTCGTGACCCATAACACTGAAAATCAGGCTGGCGATGGTAAATGCTCGTAAGAGAGTTTCGCATGGTTTTAGTTTTTTTGTTTTTCTATTTTTCTCACAGCTGCTCATTAGGCAATTATAGCTTTAGCAGTGATCGAAAAGCTGTTTTGACGACAGCTATCGAGTTTTTTAATAACACAACAGGCATTTGTCAGGTCTTGTTGTCACCGGATCGAACGTGAAATTAAAATAAAACATACCTCCGTTTTAACGCAGCTCCTCCTTGTTCCCAATCTATCTCGAATTTTTCGAAGGACCTCAACGTCCGAATCCAACCTGTAAAACGCTTGCCTTCCTTGGCGAACGAGAGTCAAATCAACATCGCAACCCTCGATTGCAAATCCACTTGTCGAGGATCCTACAAGAACCAAGCGAGATGAAGGGTAGAGTTCTTTAATGCAGCATTCTAAACTTTCGCACCATGCTTTCTTCTTCCTCGACGTTTGGTCGCTTTCTTTGACAGAGTAATACTTCTGGTTTATTTCTTGGGTGAGCGTTTCGCGTGAGCTCAGAGCAAACATTTTGCTCGCAACGACAGCGATTCTCAGAAACAGGTAACTATTTCCGGGTATATGAGACTAGCGGTGTGTGTCGGGGGAGGGGTGGTGACATTAAGTCTAAAATGTACGGGGAGGAAGAGGTTTGGCTTTAACTTAATTGGCCTTTTTGAAATGGTAATGACAACGTGGCTCAGAAATAAAATAATAATAATAACGATAGCCGGCAAAAAATGAGTTGATGAGGATAAAATTAATGTCTTCTTCCTCACAAAACAAACAATTTCTCCACACTTTGCTCGGATCCAAACAATGTGTAAGAACTGGCTCCCTTTAAAGCATCAAAATTTGCCCTCTTTCTTATATTTATTCTTATAGTGGCACTTCAACGGTGACTATTTCCTCGTTTTTTAAACGTTGTTCAACCTCGATCGTCCTCAGTGTCTTTTCGTTCACGCGGCCATATTAGAAAACGAGAAGACCCTGGGGACGAACCAGTGCTTTTGCATCAATACGAGGCTTTATGCCATTTCAACATGGCTGTCTATCTATGAAGCGGTCTTTGTCTAGTTTGTGATGGATTTTGAGTTTAAGTTGAAATCAAATGAGCAAAGAGAAAGAGTAGAAGACAAATTCGACTTTGAAGGCTGCAAAGTTGGCCGTGGTACTTATGGACACGTTTACAAAGCAAAACAAAAAGATTGGTTAGTTTTGAAGCGCGAGAAGATAATATTTTCTTTCGTTCCTGGCATTGTTTACATTTTCATGTAGATTCAGTTGATACTAAGTAGTTTTGGTCTCTTTCTCATTCAAGTCCGAATGGAAAATATTTCGCTCTCAAGCAGATCGAGGGAACAGGGATTTCAATGTCAGCTTGCCGTGAGATAGCAGTATGTACAGAATTCATCGTAATTAGCTCATTTAAGACTTAATTAAGCCTCATCAACCCAAATGCTTGATTTGTTTGAAAAGGATTTCATGGTACTTCTCTGGAAATAGAACATTTTGATTGATTGGTATGTGTTTCTCACTCTTTATCTAAAAATATCTCTCAAAATTAACAAGATAAGACACATTGTATTTTTATTTACATTCTCTGCACATGTGGTGCATTAAACTTACTTAAAGTCCATAAATAAGTGCAACCTATAAGTTGTTAAATGAAAACTGATGGATCACACTGCCTTAGTAATTTAACTGAACTCCTTTCATATTCACAGTGCTCAGTCTCCTACAGCTTTGTGTGGCTATTTTTTGGGTGGTTACTCATGCAATGTTCCTCACCACAAAATTAACAGATTCCAAGAGACAACACAAAGAACCTGTAGCTGCATAGAGGAGTCCTAAATTAATAAGAGTGACTTAACATTTGAAGGAATATTTGAAAAATGCAAGAAATCTACATACTGTATATCTTTTTTAAGCATCTTTCTTTGCTGATTAACATGGATTTAATATTTAAGCCATCCTGTAAAGAAACTGACAGGATCTAAAGTCAGTAAAAGCAAAATTAATATATGCAAGATTGGAGATACCTTTTTATTATTTATTTCTTTACTTCTTTAGTTCTAGGCCTTTTTTTCACGAGTTTAAAACTGCAATGAATCATCATTTTGTATTTTATTCATTCAAATTCTTCTAGCTTCTACGAGAGCTGAAGCATCCTAATGTGATTGCCTTACAACGAGTCTTCCTATCACATGCAGATCGCAAAGTCTGGCTCTTGTTTGATTTTGCAGAGCATGATCTATGGGTGAGTTGAACATTTAGAAATATCATGTTAGGTACGGAGAAACGTCCTTGCTTGTGTCCTGTTATTGGCTTAATTTTGTTACTTTTAGGGGAATGTTACTTTAGAGAGGAAAAAAATACGAACTGAATGCATGATCAAAATGACAAGTTTACATGACAACATGACAAACATATACGCCAAATATGGAATGTACTTGTAGAACAAGAGAAAAAATAATCTTTTTAAGTTATTTTCTGTATTATTCTATTTGAATCTACAGTAAATTATCTGAAATAATAATAATATTAAAAAGATTACAAATGTTCTAACAAATTTATGGCCCAAGAAAGAAACCAAGAAGGTCTTTTTTACTAAGAAATTTTTTTTTTCTGTATGAGTGAAGGTGCCTCGTCAAGACTAGATTTGTACAAGATATTTCCATTTTGAGTCCTTGTAGATTTGAGATGTGTGCATGCAAATCTAAGCAAAAATCATTAATATTATCAAACTAAATTTACTATGCCAATCTTGTTGTGTAGGAAACATACATAATTTAAAGTTAGAACCCACAGTCCTTCTCTGATTTGAAAAGAGATGAAGGAGATGAGGAGAAACAACCTTACAGTGATCTGGACCAGACCTAAGTCATGTGACATGATCAACCTATCATGAATGTTCAAGGCTCTAGAAAAACTTAAGAATTTTACCAGTGTTGTGACACAAGTCTTATGATTAAGTACAATTAAACTAACTTTGTTTTCTTAGCATGAGGATAAAAAAAATACACTATACATGTACAGGCAAATTTTGGTGTGGAAAGTATTTGTGTCAACAAATCCCAAATATTTGACAATTATTCCATGAGTGCACATTGAGTATGAGATGGTAGATAGCCAATGAGGTGCATAGTGCCGAGTTGGCTATAATCATCTCATATCCAATAAGCGTATTTTTTTAATTAAAAAATGCCCACAAAATATCGAGAATTTTTCCCAACTTTATTTGTAAAGACAACCGATTTTCAGCTTGTTTTTGATTTTGAGCATATGACAGTTACCATATTTGGAGAGCATGGTATGATGGCTCATATACGATGATGGCTAAGCCAATCCAAGCACTAGAATTGCATTATCCAATGATTCAGTTTTTAATAATTACAAATATTATCAATTTTTATGCTTACCCCCCGTAAATATTTTTTCTAGCATATAATCAAGTACCACAGAGCCTCCAAGGCTCAGAAGAAGGCAGTTCCTGTCCCTAAAGGAATGGTGAAATCTCTACTTTATCAAATTTTAGATGGGATTCATTATCTTCACTCTAACTGGGTACTTCATAGAGACTTGGTAGGTTGCTTTGTTTGTGTATGAGTTAACTCTCCAGGTGCTGAGCCAAGCTTTAAACAGTACATGACTTATCTCTTTATGATATCTTTTGTTACTTAAAAAGAGTCGAATAGTTTAACAGGGGTTAACAACTTGAACTCCAGATCTGGAGGTCCGGGTTTCAAGCCTTGCCCGTTGCATTGTCTCCTTAGACAAGGAGCTTTACTCCACTTTGTCTCTCTTCACCCAGGTGTATAAATGGGTACCGGTGACATACTGCGTGGGGGTAACCCTGCTATGTACTAGCCTCCCGTCCAGGGGGGAGTACGAATACTCCTAGGTATGCTACATGCTAAAGAAAGCGGGGTAAGCTCCGGCTGTTTCGGCCTTTGGCTTGTGTGTGCAATATCTTTATTTATTATTTTAAAATGTATAATTATCAATTAATATGGATCTGTGGAGTTCTTTGCAATCGCACCCTCCAGGACTAAAGGATGCTTGATGAGTTAATCATGACTGACCCTTCCATCACAAATGAGTTACCAGTATCTAACCGCTCCTTAAAATAGCACTGCTTAATTAAACATGAGTATTTATTTTCCCCAGAAACCAGCCAATATACTTGTTATGGGTGAGGGCCAGGAAAAGGGTAGAGTAAAGATCGGTAAGTGACTGTTAAGACACTTTTCAAGTACAGACAACAGTGTATTTACATTAATTAACACTGGCAACTAGAGGTACAAGCATCTTTCATTATTTTAAGTTTAAATCAAATGGTCACTTACAATTTTGTACTACATTTGTACAGATGTATCAGTGTATGATACTCTGATACAGCTGTAGTGTGTGTGTCCTTTTTAGAACAACTTTTACTTACATGAATTGTATTGTCAGCAATTTTGTATGGTGCCATGTTCAATTTAGGGCTTTTGATATTATGTAATGGTACAAGTATAGGTATGATTTTGTACAGTTGATCTCAAATGAAAATAAAAAAATCACATCCAACTTCATAATTCAATGTGTGTGGGAAGATCTAGATCTAGTGATGCATTAATTATTTTATTTTGCTTTGTCACCAGCTGATATGGGGTTTGCAAGGTTATTCAATGCACCTTTAAAGCCCCTTGCTGATCTGGATCCAGTGGTGGTAACATTTTGGTACAGAGCTCCTGAATTACTACTTGGTGCCAGACATTACACTAAAGCAATAGGTAAAGCACATATGGCTTTCATGCCATGTGGCTCAGCTTTTGTCTCTTTTCTTCACTTCTTGGTTTGCAACCATGTGATAAGGTGGTCATGTTGGGGCTGAACAAGGAAATTTTTCTCGAAGATTTTACATGAAAATGACATCACATGCAAAATTACCAATTTGGTTGTTATAATAAAGTGTATACTTACATTTACTATCAGTCTTCTCATAAGCTAAAACCTTCTGTTATTTTGGAAATCAGTGCAACTTACAGATTATTGGATGTGTTTCCAGTAAATCACCATTACACATGCATCTTTATTATTGTAACAGTTACAATACAGTTTACAGTTACTGTATAACTATTTTTTATGTATCTTGACACTTTTGAGAAAGTCTCAGGGGCTTCAAAAACGTTGTGATTAAAAATTCTAGTTGCCAATTTGGAATCTTATTTTCAGGATGTGGTCACCAATTGCATGTGTTTGTTAGTGCCTATGCTTTGGCAAAATTTCATGCCCAACGGTCAACACCCCCCCTCCCCCTTCCCTTCCCCCTACTCGTGTAGTGCAAATACCAGAGTGTCGGCATTATTGGTTTATCTAATTATTATGAAAGTAGCAATTGTATGAAGTTCATTCTTTGGGAGCAAGTGAATTGTCCACAGATTTATTGACTCCATTTGTTACCACATGTAATTTACCGTATTTGTCACTGCTGGACTGCATTATATTTTACTCTTTTAATATGGAGTACATACAATTTTCTATATTTCCTAGATATATGGGCTATAGGATGTATTTTTGCAGAGCTCTTAACTTGTGAACCTATATTTCACTGCCGTCAAGAGGACATCAAAACCAGCAATCCTTATCACCATGAGCAGCTGGATAGAATATTCAATGTGATGGGATTTCCACAAGGTAAGGATTCATGAAATACATGCTTGAATTATATACCCAGCGCTGGGTAAAGCTTCTGGTTTCTAACCTTTCACGGATTATCGTTAGTGAACGTTTTTGCGTGAGAGGTCACAATTAATAATCAAAAACGCAGGAGGAAAATCCGTTATCTTAGAGAGTGGCAAGAAACAGGTTCAGCTATTGGTCAAATCAGAACTGAAACCGCCTTGCATATTATTTTGTACCCTTGGAAACTTCTTCCCGATACTGTGAACAATAAACGGGAGTGTCCGTCGTTTCACTCAGACTGAGGGGGTGTGGTGGGATTAAATTTTGTGGGTTGGTACCGCTCAAGGTGTTGAGCTAGAGTAACTGCTGTAAGAGGTGAGGGGATGCATTTTAAGGTATTTAGCTAGAAAATTAAAGAAGGTTTTTGTTAGTTAACTGAATAGTCTTTATCGTTACTAAAAACTGCCACTGGCAGTTGACGAATGTTATTGTTACACCTTTTTGGGTGTACTTTCGCAATTTTCCGACAAGCTCCTCTGTCGTTTTTATATGGGAGTAGTCCACTGCTCCTTCCCTCGAGCCCGATGTGGTGGCCAATCAGCCACGAAACCCTCTCCGCTTACATTCAGTCCATTGTATATGTATACATGCTTCTCATGTAATCTGCCTTATTTCTCCTGAGAATCTTCGTTTTTTTTCCCAAATGTTATTAATACTAGTCAGTATTCAGTATTCACCCTATTTTAATGTATTGTACGATAATAATTAATTTTACTTAGTATTGTAATTGTATTGTATTGTAATTGTAATTATTAACTTTATATTTAGTATTCAGTTTATTTTAATGTATTGTGCGATAATAATTAATTCTATTTAGTATTGTAATTGTATTGTAATTATATTGTAATTGTAATTGTTCACTTTGTATTTAGTATTTAGTGTTCAGCTTATTTTAATGTATTGTACGATAATAATAATTAATTCTACTTAGTATTTTAATTGTATTGTTATTGTAATTATTCTACTTAGTGTCAAGCCACTGCTCGCCTCGAATAGCTATAGCTAACTGCGAGCAGTGGTACATCATATTTTGTATTTTCTCAATTTCTCTTAATAAACTTGTAACTTGTAACGTTCGTTGTAACATTTGTACAAAGTATCCCTTTATTTTTCAGAGCGTGACTGGGAGGATATTAGAAAGATGCCAGAACATGGAACTTTACAAAAAGACTTCCGAAAGGCAAAGTATGAATTTCCGCCGCAAACTCTTTGTTTACTGGATAGCTTAAGTCCAATTGGCAAAAGTGGAAAATACCAGAATTACAGTTTCCGGTTTGGGTGATGCCTCATTTGACTCTTACTTTGCGCAGTGCCCTTAACAACATCTTTAATTCTTTGCACGATTTGCATGTGCAATGGATCAGCCCCTCACAACTTTACATATATTGCAATTGTAGTTTATGCAAACAAATATAGCAAACAAGCAGAAAACATTAACAACAACAACAAAACCAAAAAAAATCAAAACAAAACAAAAGATGATGCAAACGTAAGGTTTACATGAGGCACCGCCCAAACGGCAGGTTAAACTGAAGAATGTTGTGGTATTAGACATGCTTTGGCCCGTTGAATTGTAGTGCTTATTCGAGGCTGAGCGCGTTCTTAATTGAGTCCGACTGCATTTTTGTTCTGTCCGACAAAACTGGTGACCTAACCCGACATGTGTCCTCTCATGAAAGAAAAATTATTTGCAGATCGTGGGGAGTCCCCTAAATGTCGGGCTGGGTTTGCGAGAGGTTTAAAAAAAGTAATGGCAAAAGGCACAATTTAGAATACATTTATCACAGTAGTTGTATTTATTGCCTTTTAGTTACGTAAATGCTAGCTTATGGAAATACATGGAGAAGCACAAAGTGAAACAGGATAGTAGAGCATTTCAGTTGGTAAGATCGATATTTTCACATAGACTATAAAAAAGAAAGTATCACAGAGAATCTCACAACCCTCCTGAAGGTTACTATTATGCTCGACGACTCAATTCTGTGATGTTTGTGGCTATACAATTTAATTGGGTATATCACAAAATTTAGCTGCCGCTCCAGTAATGTGTCCCAGCAAAATTCCCCCTGTATTATTCCAAATCTTTAGAATCGCCAAATTAAAGTACCGCAAATAATAGGGAGTTTAAGCAACAGCGTTTTTGAGCGGAAGTGGTCTTTTTGGATCATTGAGCAGTGGTTTGGTTCAAGTTCTCGGATAAATTGCCTTTATAAGAGAAAAGACACTCAGCAATACAAATTTGTTAGCGTTAAGGCATATAAAAAAGGAGAAGGCCTAACTTCCGGTTGGGGTGCGTCGCTCAAAAACCTCTTTGCTAGGTATTCGGACCGTAGCGGAAGTGAATAATTAGGAGCGAGGACTGGAACCCACTGGGTCGAAAGTAATTATTCAGGAGTGAGGACTGGAATTTAGTGCACCAGACCCTCTAGGCCAACCATGGTACGATGTTCAATGTATGTGAAAGACTTGTTCCAGTTCTGTTCCGTTGCTCTCCATACTATACCGGATACCTTTTGGACTGTTATACGTTTCTGGAAAACTGCCCACCTACCCGTCCCCTAAGCCAACATTTTGCCCTAAGTGAGAAGTAAGTGTCAATGGTGCCTTAAGGGAGGGACCTTAAGGCAGCATTTGGTAGGTGGGCAGGTGAACATAGCCTCAGATGAAACACAAACAGGTGTGACGCCGAGTTCGCTTGTTTTTTTATTGCTGTCTTAATAAGCGGATTTTGAGAGTGAATGAACCGCGTAGCACTCGCATGGAGAGAAATTAAGTATTAAAGTTGTAATATAGAGTGAGTGCAGCACTCACGCTATACTACAACTTTAATGGGTTGTCAGAAAGGTTTGGAATAGACGGCGGAGTTATCAACGTAAGCGGCCTGTCCAGGGATATGTTGTTTACAAAACGCCATCTGTAATGGAGTGCCAAGCAGAGTAGCCGGCCGATACTAACCACGTAGGCGGCGACTTTCGCCCGCAGCCGGCTACTTTCGACAACCCTGGTCACAGCGCTGAGAAGTGAGAAACTGTGCAAATCCCTCAGAACTTCTGTCACGTACGAGTTCTAGAAAGTTTGAATCATCATACGTTTCTGGGAAACTGCAAACCTCCCCCCCTCCTCCCCTGAGCCAACATTAACACTTACTTCTCACTTAAGGCAAAATGTTGGCTTAGGGGAGGGGCAGGTGGACAGTTTCCCAGAAACGGTATAATGATCCGAAAGTTCTAGCCTAGAAAACAAACTTAAGTTATTTGTTTGTTCTTGAGAGGTTGTTGCTATTAGTTACGGTGCGGTGTAGGTCGATGTTGTTGATGATATCCAGTAAAGGAAGAACGTGGTTAGTTTTTAGCTCCACTGACTGTAAAGTATCACGTTTATTGTATTTAAAGCTATCCAGATTGTTGGTAATGGACCCAAATAAAAGAATAACGTCGGAACAAGCTTTACAAGATCCTTACTTTAAAGAAGATCCTCTACCGACACCTGAGTAAGTACTGAGTAAATATTTCTTTCTTGTAGCCTAACTTACACTTACAGACGAGTTTGTTGCTACATTGTCTTCAGTTTTTTTATCAACTTTCGTCTTAAGGGCAGTGTCGTGAGCAGCAAACGAAATCGTAGGTGTAAAATGGCTGTAAAGCTTTTACAGTGCAACTACTTGAACCGGGGCACTTAGAAAAAAGATTATCAAATTCAAGGTTTTTTGGGAACAAAAGATTCTCAATTTTTTTTTTTTTTTTTGCAAACGGACTAATAACGTGCATAAATTTAAGGGCTATTTCCTGAGCGGCCAGGTAAGTTAAAACAGTTGTAAAGTTTCAAACGGTTGCATGGTTGAACCTTGAATTTCATTGGTCCGTTTGCCAAAGGAAAAAAAAACTTGGGAATCTTTTGGTTCCAAAAAACGCCGTGATTGGATTATCTTCTTTCAATTGCCCCAGTTTTAGTTGTCCACTGTAAATGCTGTGATATGTAAGGGCGGGTGAGGTACCAGTGACAATCTCTGTATATTATATTTCTACAATTAAAAATAGCAGTCGTTTATTGGCTTTAAGTTAAACACCCTTGCTATGAATGCCTTAATGTGGACGTTAGATTTGTTCCACAAAATGCGCTTTGTTTAAGAAGTGATCTCAGAACGCAATGGACAGTCGACTCTCTCTTAACGGACACCTCTGTAAAACAGACACCTAGAGTTTGTCTCTGTCTTATTCCTTACTCCCCTTCATTTGACTCTCTATAAGACGGCATCTCTCTAAGACGGGCACTTAGTGAAGTTATGAATATATGAAAATCATATATGTGAACTGCCGGGTGAATAATTATTACATGATAGTAGATCATTGGAGTTATAGACCCAACTTTTGCAGCTGCGAAAAGAAAGCCTGGAAAAAAAAATCAGGATTGTACGGGATTCAAACCCTTGACCTCTGCGTTACCGGTGCAGCGCTCTTACCAATTGAGCTAATAATCCAACTGGGAGCAGGTCGTTGAATTTGTTCGTTATAAACCCGTGAAAGAATGTTGCACCGGTATCGCAGAGGTCAAGGATTCGAATCCCATAAATGCCTGAATTTTTTTTCCGGCTTTCTTTTCGCAACTGCAAAAGTTGCGTCTTCAACTGCGATGGTCTATCTTCATATAATAACTACGGACACATAGTGCCGGTTCCAAAGATGTTTGTCTTAAGAGATCTGACTGTAACACTCGAGGCTTTATCTACACTATACATATGTAGTATTAGTAAAATCCAACTAGTGGTCTATTATCAATGCTGCATTCTAATTAGATGAGCTACTACTAGGCTATATGTTATAGCCCACTAGAAGCGAAAAGCGCCGGCTTTGAAAACCAAAATAAAGGCGGCTGAATCGCGTTTTGCTAGCTTAAGTTGTTTTGTGTCGATATTTTTTACCAGCTAGTTGGATTTTACTAAAAAAATTATTCCTCTCGCCCTCATGGCCTCTGAGTCAATATAGCCCGTTCAGCCTTCGGCCTCACGGGCTATTGACTCAGAGCCCATTCGGGCTCGAGGAATAATTGTTAAATACACATTTACAAATTGTCATGCATGGATGTAATATAACCGCTTGATTTTTGTGATTCTAGTGCGTTTGGAGGAATGACGATTCCCTATCCTAAAAGAGAATTTCTTAATGATGATGATAGTGATTCAAAATCCAGTGCCGCGAAGGTAATTATCATAAACATTTGTCCAATATTGAACCAACTAACTGTTTCACTATACTGGCTAAACATCTCTATTGTACGGAAAGGGTAGTCAGATAATGTTGGGCCGACCCTTGTTATATAATACAAGGGTAAAGTTTTTTCCACTGCTGGTTCAATAAAGGCGCGCCCTTGAGCTGATCCAGAGTACAAGAACGGATGTAAGCCCATTCAAAGGGGCTTTATATGATGGGTGCTTGCTTGTTGGTTGGTGCATGAAAAGAAATTTATATATATTTTTAATCAGTTCAAGTGATAGAGTAAACTGGCCGCCGCAGAGAGATTCTAAAGCTGTCTGATCTCTCGTTATTGAAAGCAGACTATAACCATTAGTGAGCTAAAGTCTTCTGGATCATTTGCGTTCTAATTGGAGCTCACAGTTAGGGCTTTTAGATCAACTAGCAGTGGCCTAATTAGTTCATCAACTAATCATAACAGTTTGTCTTTTAAGTAATCCCTTCGTTCATGACCAAAGGCGTATTCTAGAAGCACACACTGTGAAACCGTACCATTTTGTCACCTTAGAAAGTTCACTCGGGAAGAAAATAATTTATCAGCAGTGCTAACGTTCACTAACGGTCAAGTAGTCGATAGGAAGCAGGCCAATATTAGACGAGGTACACAGTACGTACGAATCAAAGTGTGGTTATCTCGCTGAGAAAGGCCAACATTTTAACACTTACAGACTAACAAGCAAGAGAACTCGGACACTAATGGTCAGCCGAGTGCTAAACGAGTTCGTGTCGTGACTGCTGAGCAGTTTCAGGTAAAGTATTGTGTGTCTAACAGGGTCAGTCGACATCTCTTCACCCCCGGAAAACACTAAGGACCACTGTGTATGTCCCCCCTTGTATCAAGAACATTAACAAACCGAATTTTCTGCTTACGGTTAATGACTAACAACTAACAGACTAGTAATAACCAGAGGTTACAGAGTGCGGGCGACAACGATCGAGGGTCAAAACGCTCCAGCGCTGTGCTTTGCGCAAGTTTCACGCGACAGATGCTAAAACACGCGTGATCAGATTACGAGTGAGAGAAGGTCCAAACGCGCGTGATCAAAGTGCGTTTTGTGCATTCCATTCATTCCAAGTTGGCTACGTACATGCGACGCATGCGTAATAACAACCTGGATATTAGGATTACGGGCTCCTCTTGTCGCCCGCAATACAGTAAAAAGTGCTTATTATTGCTACTTTAGGAACACCTTGACCTAGATACATTGTTTCGAAAGAAGGTCAAAATGTCAATTTAATTTCTAACAGTTGGAATTGTTTTTTCCTGTCCGCTTTGTAGAAAGAGGTCCGAGTTAGAAAGTGTTATTAATTCTAACAAGTTAACCTCGATCCTTATTATGGCATTTAAGATCCCTCTCGAAGCTATTAATTGGGAGGTTGAAAATCAACTGAAACCTACCATATTTTGTATTTCGTTTAGACCTTTATTGAAGTACAGTACAGTCGACTCCCGATAACTCGAACCAAAATCGATTTCCCCGGGATTTCCGTCAAACATTTACTGTAATTTTACCCTCGACAACTCGAACTCCCGCTAACTCGAACCAATTTTCGTTTCCCCTCAGGTCATTTTCTATATAATTTTACCCTCGATAACTCGAACCATGTTTTGAGCCCATAGAAAGTCGGGAAAAAAGCCGTCTACGGGCGTCCGACACATTGAATTTTGGATTTCCTATTAACGTTTTGTAGGAGTATAGTTTACTAATGGAGGCTGATGTTGATTGTCACAGGCTAACGTGAAGCAGCTTTACTTCTCAAAACAGTAAAACGCATGCTCTATTTAGGCTATGTTTTGTTACGTTACGTTCTGATTTATAATCTAGAAGTATCTCTTAATTTTCACTTGACATTTCTACAGCTAAATGTGATTAAAATGTTCACTGTGCAGTAAAACCTGTTTTATACCTTACTCTCGGCTATTTTCTTCGAGCTCCCGATAAGTCGAACTCCCGATAACTCGAACTTTTTCGATTTCCCTTGAAGGTTCGAGTTATCGGGAGTCGACTGTATTTACATTTTACAGTCTGTATTATGTAGTTATAGCAGTTTGTGCCAGACAAGTCCTAGGCACACTTCGCGCGTTCTCTTGGCCTTATATGATGAAACAACTGGTATATTCACGACTATTACATTACGTTAATCAGATATGTCAATCACCCCTTTTTTTTTTTTTTTACCATGTTCTAAAATGTTTCCGTTGTCTTGTTTCATTTTAGCAAAAGCAACAGTCATTTGCATATCAAGGACAGGGCAACCAACAGGCCCAGTCCTCCAGCGGACAGCAGACTGGTCATGTGGGACGGTTCCTGCAGCAGCAGTTTCAAACGAATAATAGTCAAAACAACTCCACCCCAACCAATCGGCAGTTCTGATTGACCCTGCCTCGGAAATGAGTCTTCTTGACTCCTATCTACTGAATTATCATTATTATTCACTTTGAAATTTAAAATCCATTAGAAGGAAACGACCCGCATCTGAACTGGATTCAGGTTGTGCCAGTATGCTTTGTCAGTGAGATATGTCGTTAGGAAGCGATAACAAACGGTCATTTGTTCTGCGGATTCCCAAAACCGGGAAGCGGGAAGCGGGAAACCGCAGCTCGTAATTTTTGGCGGGAAAACATTTGATACTCCTGCTGTCACGAAGCTCTTCGAAACTTGTAATATGGTATATCTTAAAAAAAAGGCTGTTGTAAACCATGTATGAACTCTGTTTCCATGTCTGTATATTAAATTCCTTAACTCAGTATATGATTTAGCTATTCCATTTGTTCTTTTATTGTAACTACTACTTAGATCAAAACTAACTAAGCGCGAAAAACTCTCGAGAAACTTTAGTCATGGCGGTGATCCACCAAAATCGAAAAGGGATGGACAGGTGGAAATGTTCCTCTTCTTAATTCGTTCTCCGGATTTCTGCGAATGAATGTTTCTCCACCGCCCTCCAACACGTAACATGCTAGTTGCCTTCAGATATTCCATATTGTTTACCTTAAAACACATTGCATGACGAGCTTAGGCGTCCAAAATTTAGGCGTATTTTATTACCTCGGTAATATAAGAACTTAGTTCGCACACAAGGCGTCGCTTATAATCCCTGCGATTAGGCATTTTCCGGCATGATGAAGGGAAAAGATAAATATTTCCACGTATTTCTAGACATGCCATGCTTGCGTGCCTGACAGTTCTTTTCCAAAATCATAAACAAGGAATACTGCACACTACATTAAGAGGAGAAAAGTTAACAAAACTGATCCATGTACCTTGTATTCATAAAGTTGAAATCACTGCCGAATAAAAACGTTCAGTTAGCCGCGAGAGGTCTAAATTTCTTTCTCAAAATAGACTAAAATGCAATCAAGAAGCCAGAGCGAAATATCAAATAAAATGCATGATACTTTTGAAAATGCTTGCATGCTCAGTTAGCGCGTGAAAGAGGTTAACAGTCTTCCCACGAATAACAACAGCTAACAAGAGCTGACGACCCAGGTAAGGCAGAAAACAAGTGTTTGGGAAGGTTAATATTTCGCCCACAGATAACAACAGCTCAGCAAAGTGGAGAGGTTAATATTCACAGATTACAAAGACTACCTAGGAAAAGCAGAAAATAAGTAAGTTTGTGGAGGGGTTAATATTCTGCCTACTACAGATTACAACAACTACCCAGGAAAAGCAGAAAATAGGTAAGTTTGTGGAGAGGTTAATATTCTGCCCACCACAGATTACAACGACTACCCAGGAAATTAAGCAGAAAATAAGTATACTAAGTTTGTGGTGGAGAGGTTAATATTCTGCCCACAGATAACAACAGCACAGTAAAGACTGCATCGGGAGCTTTTTGACATGGGTATTTCTCAAACTTTTGAAGTTTAACTGATTTTATTATTATTATTATTTTTTTTTTTTTTAAGAGAAAGCACTTTATTTTACACTGATTTTTAAGAATGATAATGTCAATGTCACTATTTAAAAAGAAAAAAAAATAGAAAGATGTAGTTATTCGCTTGGTTTGCATCATGACATCATCATGATCTGTAATTTGCTAGTGTGCCAAGCTCAAGAACTTCCTTGAGTGCTTCTTAGAAACAGATTATTAACGACTTCTTTCAGATTCATATAGGTTAGATCACAGTGGGTGTGTGTAAGAGCCAGTGAAGAGAACCTCCCTTGTGCCGCGAATATTACTCAGTGACTACTTTTTGGCCAAAGAAAACACCAGATATTTTAAGCTGTCCTCAAAGACAAAGGGTCATGCAAAAAAGGAACAATACATACCTTCACCTCCTTCAAGCACAAGAGGATACGAGATCCACCACTTGTAAAATGACTATTAAGCAGTCACTTGGAAAACGATACTGATATGTACTGCCTGATACAACTTGATACTGCCTGATAAATGCGTAAGGTCAACTTTAAGCTATAGTCAAAACGGTTTACTTCTTTCTCCACAAAAACAAAACCTAGCTTGAAACCGTCACAATAACAGCGAAGGGAGAAATAACATCATCGCGCTCCTGACTTGCATTATTCTTATTAGCAAAGTGTAAATGCCTTATAGGCATACCAAATCCCTTTTTTAAAATGAACGTGGTTTATATTCAAAGCTTTGTGATTTATTCGTAGACAGTGCATTTACAGCAGTTAAAGACATGCGAAGTTCTAAATTAGGTATGTAAAAGGATTACCATTTGAGAAAGAGGTACCTTTTCTGTCAGAAATGGTATATAAAAGGGTAAGGGGTTGGACTTCGGGGCGGAGGCTCCCCGTATAAAAACAAAATTCGTGAATACCCCCTTGCCCCCAGTTGTTTTTTAATCCATCTTCTTCCAAGTGTCCCTGTTAGAGCAGTCTACTGTAAATGTTCCGTATTGTAAGGGCTGATGAAGTACCAGTGGAGGAGTACCATATTTCTACAGGCCGGCTTGTTATAAGAAACAGTCGTTTATTTTCCGCCTTAAATCAGACACCTTTGCAATGCATGTCGATGTTAGAATATTTGTTCCTCAAAATGCACTTTGTTTAAGAAGCGATCTCAGAACGCAATGGATCCATTCAGTACAGTGGGCTCTGTCTTAACGGGCACCTCTATAAATAACCCTCGGACATACACGCAAATTCATATCCCCATCGTGGTACAAGGGGGGGGGGGGGGGG